AAAAACTTTGTCAGTAAAAAAAAAAAAAACTTTAAAACATAAGCCCTCGTTATCAGAAGCAGCAGCAGTTATGTCTAAAAGAATTTCGCTGTAGCCTCACCCATTCACCTTTGCGGGACTAGCCACATTGTGGCAGGGTGGTTGTAAACCATAGTAACAATGGCATTCTTCTGCCCAAAGTTCTGTATTTCAGAAGTCAAACAGTTGCCCCCTATATCTGAAACAATTTGAATGCGATTTCTCATAAAAAACCCAATAATCTAGTAACAAACTGTCTTACTGTGCTGGATCGAGCTGTGTGCATATTAAAATAAAAAATAAATGTTTGGTTTAGGAAAATGGTGAATTATAAAGAAAAAATATAAACAGCTAGGGCTATGTCCATGATACTTTCCATATTTAAAGCTTAACATTCATCTGGTTTTATAATAGGAGAGTTTTATAATAGAAGGTCTAAGCATAGAGGAAGAAATAGAAGAGAGAAAGTTACCTGAGGCATTCACCAATTTTAGAGTATAAAATTCATTGAATTCAGGAATTTTATCAGGGATAGCATGAAGAGTTATTGGTTTTGATGCTTCACCATCCAAAAACCACACAGTCCCATATGTTTCATAGAATTCTTGTCCTGGTTCCAGAGAAGAATCATTCTTAAACAGCTGCCAGGTCAAGGAAACATTGCCAAAGTGTCCTCTGTGCCTTATAATCCTGCGCAATGAATTGGGCACAATGAGCTTTCTGGCAGGCATGTATCAAACAGTAAACAAGAACAAAAGAAATCCAGGTGCAGACCTTCTGTATAATCAAATGCAATTTATAGTTCTCCAAATAATTCATTCACAGACAGTATAAGCAATCTACTCTTGAAGGCTTACGGCCTCATGGTTGAATTCTACCTCAGGTATACCGGCATATCTCATACATTCCTTCAAAAATACCTACAATGACCTCTCCATAAGCGTGCACCACACTACAGTGTTTTTAAGTTGCACAGCAATACACCTTATCATAGAGAAGTAGGGCTGGAGTGGACCTCCAGAGATCATGTAGTCTAATTCCCTGCCTGAGGCAGGACCATCGCTATCCAAACCATCCTATACAAATCATGATCTGAAATCTACATAAGAGTTGACCTTGCGTTATTAAGGATATAAAGGAGTTCTGCATCTCATAATTTTTGCAGTTCAGGGCCCTTAGAGGCCAAACTCTTTTTTCCCACCCCTTCTGTGGTATCAGTTTTTCAGCTTCACTCATTTACCAATATACGAGTACCAGCTAGTATACCTATACCCAGTTGGTTAGGTTTTTTTTAGAGGAGACTTCCATCTGTTCCTATACCACAAACCTAAGCTAAATATAATATCTATTCAGCTAAGGTTCAGAAAAGACATGACCCTTTCCCAGTAGGCTGTCTAATTAGACCTTTAAATATTGTATTATTTAAATACAAAGACTCTCTATAGAGAGTTCCAGTCACATGCTTTTATCCAAAAAAAGAATCAAGAGAAAAAAATAATAAAAATATAAAGAATCAACCTTCTCAGACTAGCATCCTGGCCACAATGTCTCTAGTTTACCTCTGCCTGCTCCCTTCCTGGGGGAAGAAAAAAAAAAAAAAATCACCCAGCAGCTCATGCTGATTCTCCTGGCAAGTAACAAGGGCCACCTGTCAATAAAACCCAGTTTCTTAATCCCTTCTGTTCTATAATCACTATGGGGGTGGGGCGGGGTATATGGATAATAAGCTTTGTTTTCAGGGGATGGTTTATGGCAAGGTCATTTTAGCCTAGAGGGGTATCTAATGTGGACTGTGAAGGTCAACATCATTTGTAACAGGTAAGTGAAACAAAATGAAGTATAAAAAAAAAGAATGAAGCAATCAAATGGGGTAAATTTTCGGAACTAGGTTCAAGGATTACTAGGCATCTCACCATAAAAATCAACAGCTGAAAAAGAAACCATTTGGTTTTCAGAGGATTTTCTTTTTCCTTAGGTTACATTCTACTTGACCTTTTCATACCTACAGTGAATATCAATCGTTGTTGTAATCATACTTACACCTCCTTCACTTATCATATACTTGAATTGTTTTTGTTTGCATATTGTTCTGTAAACGTACATTATATTTGATACTTCAAATACATATTTTCCTTTAAATTCTTTATAAAAACAAAGTCTATTGTACTGGCAAGTCTGCAGTATGA